TCTTTCCCTGACACATCTACTTGCAGATCATGAGAAGTCTGAATCCAGACACCACATTAAAAGCCCTCTAAAATTAGCATAATCGCACTTTTTAAAAGAGTTAAATTTCTTTCAAATCAAATACAATTACTTCAGGTCATTTTCACCATTTTAATTTTCTAAATGGACTCAACTAATGTTTACAGATTATTATAATAGCTTTTAGACATGCCAAAAAAATACATACCAACTCTGAACAGCATGCCTTTCAATGCGAATTTGTTTAGAATACTCTCCATTGACCAGTATATCCATGTACTTGACTAAAGCAAAACATCTATTGGTTCATTATCTATTCTTCTCATGTTTTTCATTCTTCAGTACTTACTATACATTGTAATTTCCATGATATTAATACCTGGATTATGAGAGGCTCCAGTAGTTTCTCTACAGTGAATGTTTGGACATGCAAATCCTGGAGATCAATATTCAGTGTGATTGGTGTTTCAGCTGACATGCTGCCTGAGCACAAAAACAAAAGACACTTGTTACTAAAGAAAATTATGTTCCAAATAAAAGCACTGATGAAAATCATAGAGTACATGAGATTTGTATTCAAGACCTATTCCTGATATCAGCTGTAGCTCTCAGAGGACCGGGATGCCAAGCCCACCAACAGAGAAATGAGATATTCTCCAAGTGCTCTTTGAGGTCACGCTGTCTGGGCTTAGATCCTCTAACAAATTAATCTATGCTAGCATGTTCATGACTAAAATAATAACTCAGGACAGGTGGTTTTGCATTTGATCATAGGTTTTAAGTAAAAAAAGGAGGGCCAATTTGGTAAGACATATCTTATAGTACATAAATCTTTGATTTTCATGAAATCATAGCACTGAGGCAGCCAGCACCCATATTTGGCCTGTTCTTATTAATGATGACTCAGACGAGAAGCCAGGTAGGACTTTGGAAGACATGTGATACATCTCTACTTGTTTTTGGAATTGTTTATTTCAGGGTTTTGATTGGATCAGAAAGTTACTTTCCTGTACATAAAAGAAACTAATGTAAATTGGCATAGTTATTATAAAAAGAGAGAAGCCTCTGAGAAGACATCGATCTGGGGGCAAGACGAAATAAGGGGGAAAATTACAAACGACTCTTTAGGCATTAACATTAATCTTAAAAATCAATTCTGTAATATTTTGCATAAGAATACATATATCTATCAAATGACCATATGTGGCATATCACAACATATTGAAATTAACATATCATCCATGAAGACTGTTACCTAAATCACAAAGCCTCACAAGTTTGTATTAACTTCTTCACAGTCCATAAGCAACCAGCAAGTATTTACTGAAGGTCCACATAGAGAAACAGTAAGATACACATCTCTCCTATATACAACTTGTCCTGTTAAAAAAATTAATTTGTAGTCCACAAAAACACGTACTACTAAAATGCAAAAACTTTTTGAGAGCATCTGGGATCTTGCTCCCCAGCATATGTTCTAAGTTTGTCTCAAATAAACTCTTATAAAATTAAAAATAAATTTTAAATAAATTTTAGAAACCTTCCCTTAGTTGTTACCTATTTTCTTCTATTGTTTCCTTATTTTCAGGCTAAGAGAATGCAAGAATCTTCCCCCAGAAAATATCTTTATATTCCCTATGATACACACAGAAACAAAAAAAAAGGAAAAAGAAAATTTTTCTTTTACTTTAGTTTCTTTAGTTATCATTTCAGGTATTAGGACAAATAATTGTTTTCTTTTTAATTAACTGATCGGCTCCATGAATGGATGTAGATGAATGAGTGAATGGATGAATGAATGAGCATACATTTTCATGGTATCTCTCTTATCCAGAATCAATCCCTTCAATGCTCCTCTCAACCTCAGTGATTCTAGGACAGAGAATTGTTCTTTTGCTATACCCCTGTCACCAATCTCTAGATGATCAGAATTTTAGGCTAGGACCCATGTTCCCTCTCAGCTCCTTCCTGAGAGTCTACCTCCATTCTCTTCCTAGACTTTTTCAACTCCCACTAGCCTAGCTTCATATAATCAGCATCTCTTTGCTCTTCAACCTTTCCCACTCTACTGAATTCTTTCCTGGGATCCATAAATGTATTATTGTATGTATTTGAAGATAATCATAATCCCTGTGTGTGTGTAAGTGAAAAATACCAGTGTTTCACCAAGGCTCTTCTAGACGGAACACCTGATACATGAGCAGAGAGAGACATACACACACACACACACACACACACAAAATCCTCCTATAACTAAAAAATCATCCTCATTGTCTCTTGATGTACTCTAATTCTTTAATTAATAACAAGATTTGTTTTTAAAAAATAGAAGCATTCTTGAGAAAAACATGGTGGAGTGAGAGACGTCCTCATATCTCTCCCCTTGAAACAACAATAAGCTGAACATCTAAAACTCAGCAAAAAACACCCAAACTGCACACCAGCACATCTGAGTATGGAATCTGCACGTAAGAACTACCACAGGTCAGAACCCTGGGTGTCGGGCAGTGGACTTGGAAAAATAAAGAAGCTGCCTCTCACAGCCGCTGGAGATTCTTGCAGAAGGAGAGGAGAGGTGAAGGAGTGGCAACTTCCCTGAACAACCCTGCCTGGAAGTGCCAGGACTTCTTTGCAGCCAGCAGCAGGGCCCAGTCATCAGGGCAGAAAGCAAAAATGCAGGACAGGACCACAGAGAAAAAACAGTTGATTTTCACCAGCCGCGGATGCACAACCGAGGTTGAGCCTTAGCCCCCAACTCCCAATCCAGAGAGCCCCTCTGCCTATGCCCTCTGAGACTGGTCACCGCGGAGCCCCAGGGGAACCTGAGCAAATGCTACCACAACTGTTTATTAACACTGACAGGGACTGAAACTGAGAGTAGCAAGTGAGATTAAATTTCTATAAGAAAATTCTAAAAAACATTATGTAGGCTTTATATAAAAAGCAGGGATCCAAGGGGCTTAGACACTGCCTACTGGAAACCAAAAGAAAAGCACCTTCTTTGTAGCAGGCTAAAGAGAGACCTTTATATAATAAATCTTCTTTCTGGAAAAATGGCAGAATACACTTTCATTAATGCCCAGGCGGAGAAATAGTCCATTAAACACTATGGACAACCAAGGTGACAAGGTATCTCAGAAAGAAAGAGAAAAAAAATCCATAAAATAAGCTTACAGACATAGAAATATGTGACTTAAATGACAGAGAATTCAAGATGGTACTTTTTAAAAAACTCAATGAGTTCCGAAATGAGTCATATCAACAATTTCAGAAATTGAAAAAAACAACTAGATGAGCAGAGCAAGGAGATTGAAACCCTCAGGAAGAACAGAATAGATCTTCTGGAGAGAAAGAACACACTGAAGAGTTGAAAAATGAAATAGCAAGCTTGGGAATGGAGTCGACCAAATGGAAGAAAGGATCAGTGATATTGAAGACAGAAATCTAGAAATAAATCAGAAGGAAGAGAGAAACCAAAGAATGAAAAATAATGAAAGAGAAATTCAAGAACTAGCTGATAGCATCAGGAGAGGAAACATAAGAATAATGGGCATTATTGAAAGTGAGGAAAAGAAACAGGGACTAGAAAGCATTGTCAGACAAATAGTTGATGAGAATTTCCCAAATCTAAGGAATGAGCCAGAGCTTAGAATTTAAGAAGACAACAGAACGCCCAATTAACTCAAAAAGGCCTTCACCAAGACATATTGTATTAAAGTTATCAAAAATCGATGACAAAGATAGAATTCTCAGGGTAGCCAGGGAGATGAAAATGGTAACTCATAAAGGAAAATCCATTAGATTATCCTCAGACTTCTCAGTGCTAACCCTACAAGGCAGAAAGAAATGGAATCAAATATTTAAACTGTTAAATGAAAGGAACTACCAGCCTAGAATATCCAGCTAGGCTTTCTTTTAGATATGAAGGAGAAATTAAGACCTTTCCAGACATACAAAAATTGAGGAAATTCTCCACTACAAGGCCTGCACTATAGGAAATACTGAAAGGGATCAGCTCACCTAAACCAAAAACGACAACAACAACAAAAAATACATAATTAAGAGTAAAGTGACTATCAGGCAAATAGAAACAGGAGTGCAACCCTTATGAAGAACAGGGCATTACAGGCTTAAATAATAAGAAGAGAAA